AGAGAGAGAGAGTCTTTGTGTGTATGAGCAAAGATAGTATCTTTGGTATGAGTGCTCTTACTCACCCTCCCTGGTTAAGAAAATCGTAAACATATTGGTTGATGAGCGTGATGTTGCGGGCGATGTTCATGCCGTTGTTGTTTTGGTCGGTCTGTTGGTAGTCGTAGGGGAAGGCGCTCTGTGGACGCAGGTCGTTCACGCCGATAAAACCTGGACACAGACACATAGAGGCGGGAAAAATCTCGTGTGTTTCTCCGGTTCTATGCTCAGTCAAAGAGGTTATGAATACTTTGAATACTATACTTTTATAAAGTCTTTGAAATCAGTGCACACTGCCATTATAATAACTTTCTTTTGATTCAGTTGGGGTCAGCCACGTTTTCCCATCATGGCTGTGGAAAGAGCTAAGCTTTCTTAGATCTATGACTAGCCCAAAGAGGTTATACTTTCTATTTATAACCTCTTTGCCGTAAAACCCTCTACTATAATTTTTTTTAAAAAGCTTCACTAAACCGTGCAGTGCCGCCCAAAATGTTTTAATGTTCTATTACGTAAAACAGTCACAATAATAAAATAAAAAACGCCAGAAACAAACACTAGCCAAATATTATATCATAACAAGGTCCTCGCTGGCGCTGTAATTGTCATTTCTGTGTCTATAGCGCCGTGAAACATCTACTATGCCATGCTAAAGTCCATGCTCTGTATTTAAACATAACAGGATATTCAACAGTGGAAACCTGGCCTATAAATCGCTCTTTGGGATAACCCAAGCGATGACGACACTCGTAGAGAGTTTGGCGGTACATTAAGGGGGGGGGGGGGTGTCCCACCTATTTTTGGTCAATCTGGGTCAAATTGGGTATTACAATATCTTTTGCCTTTTCTCAGTCATTTCTCTGTCGATTTGATTTTCCTTTGGCACAATTGTAGCTAGTTGAATGCCCAACATTTTTTATTCTTACATTGTTATTCTATCTTCACTTATTAGAGAGGTATCTCATTTTTTGTCCAAAATATTTGATTTTTAAATTTTTGACACTTTTTTCGAAACTCCTCTGAAGACTACAGGTGTATCTTGATGGCACTTGGCATACTTGTTGCCCTTATGGGTGGTTACATTACATAGTCAAAGTTTTTTAAAATATCTCTCTTGGTTTTCATTTTATGATTTAAAAGATTTGGAAAATTGACCGTTTTCTGCATTTTTAACAAGATTTGCACGCTTCTTCCTGTAACTTCGAAACGAAATAAAATATCGAAAGATACTGACTATCTTTAACTTATATGCCTCTTTGGTACATGTGTGCCAAAGGACAATAAAATCCATCAGTAAATTTCAGAGGAGTATTGACTTGAAAACATGATGTGAAAATCCAATATGGCCGCCATAAAAATGGCGGCCATTTTGGATCCGGGAAATTTTTTTTTCATCGTAATACCTGTATCATGACGAAGTTGTACGCCAAATTTAAGGTTTCTAGGTCCAGAAATAAAGGAGTTAGCTCGCTCGTGGGACCCCTCCCCCCTTAATATTAACAAGACGGCACATCTCAAATGTGCTCCTGCCGAATAGTGCCGAAACATAGCCCAGAGTAGGCAATCTAAAAAGAAACTCGATAGACTGTGCACTATTCTATGCCAAAATTTTTAATTATGTGAGCCCGGAGCAATCCAGCGAACTGCTCAAGTGAATTGTGATTGGTTCATTGCCTTGCCGGTATTTTAAGTGACTCTGTGACTGAGGACCCGAGGGAGGTGAACGTGACATACTTAAGTCACCGTCCTATGAGTTGTGCTTTCAAATGGTTTTGTAGTGGAGTGGTGAAAGGTATTACTTGAGCGTTCAGTTCTAATGCAGGATGAATGAAATTGACGTTTAGCTAACAAACAGATTTAGTTCTAGAAGTCAAAGCCATAAGTAAAAAGAATGAAAATAAAAGTATTAGGTCTTCCTTCACCAACCCAAAGATCTTAAAATTATACACCATCCCATTTACTATGTACTTGACTATCTTCAGCCTATGAGAGCTTAATTGTGCACGCCCACTTTTTAGACCCACGAGCCGTCCCTGACTACTACTACT